TGCAGTCTGGTGACCTGCGTAGTCTTCCCCATGGCTTCGTCGGTGGGTGTGCCGAAGACCATGCTTGGGTTGGCCTCACCTGGGTTCAGGTTTAGGGGTTTAGGGATTTAGGGTTTAGGGGTTTAGGGTTTAGGGTTACGAAAAACCTTATGTGTTCTTGCGGTTCCTTTAAGGGTTCTTAGGGGTTCTGTAATGCGGTTCCCTTTAAGGGCTCCTTTCAGGGGCTCCTTCGGCTCCTTCAAGGGGTTCCTTCAAAGGAACCCTGGAAGTAGCCCTTAAAGGAACCCTCAAGCAGCTTTGTTGCTGACGTGCGATGCCGAACGGAGCAAGCACTTGTGGGAGGTCCTGAACCTTTGTGTAATTTTTTCTGGTAATTAGTGGTGCAGTTTCCCAATCAAACTGAATTTCCCCTAAACCCTAAACCTCGAAACCCTAAACCGCAAAGCATCATCAACAAAAAGTGCAGATGTAGGGGCTCTGAGACGACTCTGCCTGCCTTCCCCCGATCCTCTCACCCTTAAGCGCAAAAACCACATCAACGCCCCTTAAGGAAGGAGCCCATTACGGGCGCTCCACAAAAAATGGCCCAAATAATTACCATGTTTAGCTGTTTCTTGGGGATTATAATGACCAAAAAATAAAAACTAAAAACCAAGTACCCCCAAGGGAATCCCACAACTCCATGAAGAGCAAAGTGGCCTTTGATGGGCTCGGGAAACGTAGCGCTCGCCATGCCTTCGACCTCGACCTAAACCCCCCCAGCAACTGAAGCTCTCGCGACTTGAGCCGAAAGATCCGCACCTCGGTTGCCTCGAGGCAAATGGGAGTTTCCGAACATTGGGGGATCCCCTATTTTGGGGTCCTCATAATAAGGATCCTACTATTTAGGATACTTTTTTAGGGTCCCCGATTTTCGGAAACCACCAAATACCAGACCTAAGAGTAATTCAGGAATAAACAGGGTGCACTTTTTGGGTTAAAGGGGCTTGTAAGGGAACCTGAACGTTACAAAAAGGGAATAAGGGCCTACTCTGGGTCCTAGAATATAGGGCCTGTATATTTCGCAGGCCCAGGGGCTTTGTGGGTATACTCTGATGAAAAAGCATATGGGGACAAGCAAAGCCCTGAAAAAGCCTTCCAATCTTGGAGTCTGGGCAGGTCTCTCGCAACTGCCGGAAAGCCCCCTTCCCTGAACCCTAAACCCTAAACCCTAAACCCTTAAAGCAACTCTGAAAAGAACGAGGAGAGACATGTGTGCAACCCTGGCCTGAAGCCTTGAACAATAAACCCTAGTTGTAGGAACCCTTAAAGACAAACCTTACTTTAGGGGCCTTAATAATTAGAATAAGGTTTTGGGGCCCAGTATACTATAACCATAGTTAATAAGGAACCACCCAACTAAACCCCTAAAATCGCCCTTATGAATCCCTTAGAGGAGCCCTTGAAAAGGAACCCTTAAAGGAACCCCTGGCCACCTGTCTCGCCGTCCACTCGTTCGTGCCTTTCGCCTCATCGAAACCGAACTCCAACCTGAAGATGGGTCGATAGAGTTTAGGGTTTAGGGGTTTAGGGTTTAGGGTCGAAGTCTTCGGGTGGATTATCGCGTTAAGACTGTCGGGTTTCGGGGGGATTCTCGGGGTAAGACAGTCGAGTATAGTGTTTAGATGCATAGCACCCCAAACCCCTAGCCCCAAACACTGTAAACTCCTACACCCATTAGGGTTTAGGGTTTACTTGGAGGGCAGGGGACTTAGTAAGTCGGTTATAAGAAGGGTTATCATTGGGGTAACTCCATTTAGGGTACTTATACCTCCACTTAGAACCTACTTACTAAGTCCCCTGGCCCCCCCCCAAGTAGACCCTGGAGCCTAAACCCCACAGATCCCTTTCAGGAGCCCTATAGATCCCTTTGAGGAGCCCGGGGTGTAGGCCTACTTAGGGGTTTAGGCTTTGGGTTTTGGGGTTTAGGGCTTAGGGGCTTTGGCTTTGGGGTCTCGGGGTTTAGAACTTACTGTAAGGCTTTACGCTTTTGGGTTTTGGGGTTTAGGGCTTCAGGGTTTAGGCTTTTGGGTTTTGGGGTTTAAGGCTTATAGGGGTTTAGGTTTTTGGGTTTTGGGGTTTACTGCTTAGCGGTTTCTGCTTTTGGGTTTTGGGGTTTAGGGCTTAGGGGTTTACGCTTTTGGGTTTGGAGTTTGGGGCGTAGAGGTTTGGGCCTTTGGGTTTAGGTTCGCTCATGGTTTACAGTCTAGAGGCCTTGGGGCGGCAAACGTCTGTCGAGTAAGGATCCGTGAGAGTGGCATTACGTTAACTAGGGTTTGGATACTGCCCCCATACAGTACCAGTCTATAATATTAAGAGCCGAATATATCTATATTATAAAGATTATCCAACTGCTACTGAGTGGGGGTAGTACCCAAACTATGGTCAACTTTCATGCTGAAACCAAGAGGATGATGTTTCCTCTCACGATCCATATATGCTCATGGATTCTTGCTGCTGCTACACGATTGACACTATGCTCTGCATTCCATGATCATAATTTCATACGATAATGTTACCCCTAAACCCTAAACCAACCATTGATACGGATGCAATTCCAAAAAGATCATGTCGCCGCATCCCTTGGAAGGCGACTTCGCTGGACCGTTCCAAAAGCTGTTTAGGGTTTAGGGTTTTGGGTTTAGGGTTTAGGGTTTAGGGCATCTCACGCCGCGTATCCTACACCCTGTAAACCCAATCTAAAGCCCCCGTTTTCGCGCCCGGAATTTCTGTCCTAAACCCCTCCTGGTTCAAAGTATCCAGATACCCTGGACCCTAAACCCTCATCCCAAACTATTTCCAGGTCCTGCAATGCAAAACTGCTTAGGAACCTCCTCGTCGTCAATGCTACAAATAACTCATAGAGCGGCCATCATTATGTCATAGAGGTCTCAGGGGTATATGATACCATGCTTATATGGGAACCACAAGGGGATACTATTGCTACTTATTCCTACCCCAAGTATAGTTCAAGCCCCTAGATGGCTCTTCCTTCACTTTTTCAAGTCCCTTATTACAGTCCGCCCACAAGGAGCACAAAGAGTGAGAGTGTTGAGCCCAGACGTTAACGGTTTGAAAAGCTTGGGTGGGCCCCCAAAATCCCTGCCGTCTTCCGGGCTCCGTAATGTGATTTATTTACGAAGGTCCTAAGAAGGACAAGTTATTCGGGGTTAAGGTAGGGTTTAGGTTTAGGGATCGGGCCCTCCAGTGCTTGAAAACCCCACAATCAGAGCTCCCACTTTCAGCAGGGAGGCAGGATTCCTTTGCCTCGCCCGTTTGACAGCTCTGAACGGACGGAAAGAACCTGCACCGGCACTTTGTCATCAGAATTCCGGGACGTGGTCATCTTTTCGGGGGGCTGTCTGTCTGTGTTTGTGTTTGTAGGTATGTACCTACATCGTTCTACTGGTTTGTAGTACGTCAGCTCCGACTGTAGTCACAAGCCCCACACCTCGTTGACCACTCGTCCGAAAAACCCCAAACCCTAAGCCCCTAAACCCCAAACCCTAAACACCTGACACCTAAACCACTACACCCTAAACCCTCGAAAAGCCCTAAACCTTAACCTCTAAACCCCTTAGACCCCTTTATAATCCGTAGACCCTGCACCCGACCCCTTTTTCGCCAGCCTGGGCTTCGCGCCACGACTCCGACTTCTGACCATTCCTGGGCTTTGAGGGGTGTGGGATTTCGGATCTAGGGTCTAGGGTTTATAGGGTTTAAGGGTTCAGGGTCTAGGGTTTAGGGTTTAATTAAGGGTTTAGGGTCTAGGGGTTTAGGGTTTAAGGGTTTAGGGTCTAGGGGTTTAGGGTTCAATGGTTTAGGGTCTAGGAGTTTGGGGGCTTTGAAGGTTCGGGGCTTGGGGTCAAACCCTTAACTCTTAAATCCAGTTTCAGGTTTATGTTGTCTAGGGTTCCTTGAAACGGATTCAGGGGTTAGCAGCTTCGGCTGACGACCGGATGTATGAGGACCAATCTAGATGTCATCATGATATCGCTGTTCTTTTAAAAATGTAAAGGATTTCGCAAAGTCAGAGGATGTTTATGTGTTTGAGGGGCTTTGAAAGGGTTGAAGGCTGTGTTTCTGTGTATCTTACGTGGGTCTGATGTCGTGGAGGGAACCTGCAGGCCTGAACCACTGGGCTCAGACTTCCGAACTCAACATCGCCGCAAGACTGCTTGGAGCTCTATGAGGTGTCTTGCAACAACATACGAACATAACCCTGCAGCTAATCTTGCCTGATCCAAAAGATGCGTCTTGAGTATATGTGGAGATGTCCGCGCCTCGACACGAGCTTTTTGCAGGCACAGTCGCAGCTCCACCGCCCTACACTCCACCAGATGAACACCGAGGGAACCCTATGCACCGTCTTCCTCAGGATTATGCAGAAATATTATCTATCATACCATGCCTATACAAACCAATACTCTAAGGGTCCAAATACCTTCGAATCATTTACTCTCCGAAATAGTAACCTACATAACCACTTTCCTGGCACCGAATACCGAATAGCATTCCCTAAGGCTACACGCATCCATTTGTATGTTACATACTTAGACCTCAATGGGGTTCCTATCAAGGTACTTAAGCACTAGAAGTACCTAAACCTCCCAAAGTAGGTAAAATAATGGCCCGATACCCATAAAAGGCTATTATTCTACATACTTTTGGGGTCCAGGTGTTTGCTATACAGGTAAACGGCGCCTTCGGGATTGGGTTCCCTGGGTAGGCCTTGCGGAGCAAGCAAGGAGCCTCAAAGTACGTCCCCCATGTTGGGGACGTCTCTTTGGCTTGGTCGGAGGATGGTACGGTTGAGTTTTAAGGCTGGGGTTCTAGAGTTTAGGGGTTGGGGTTTAGGACTTAGATGTAGGGTGTAAGGTTTTAGGGCTTGGGCTTTAGGGCTGTATGGTTTGAGGCTTGAAGGTTAGAGTTTTAAGGTCTGGATCCCTAAACCCTAAACCCTAGACTTGCGAAGCCCACAAGGGCTCTCTCTCACCCAGGCTTCCACACATCACTGAGGCCGGGGTCGAGGCACCCACAGCTCCGGCGTGATTTCGAAGAAGGGCCTGGTCTGAGGGCATTGGTTTCACGTGAACCCTGCGCCCTACAAGACAGGGCTTTCGTGGTGAGGAAAGCTTCAAGGTTTAGCAGTCCAGTTAGGTCGAGAAAAGGCCCTGTGTATGATAACGGCCACAACTTCTTCTTATTCTCCTTACCCGGGACCATAAGCCACGCACCGACAACAACTGCTGGTGGTCTGGCTACGACGACGATTATTACGTACTGGTGACAATGCCACCACGGCCAATAATATGACACCCGACCGGCACGACTGATAGTCAGAGGAATACATAGATGATCATAGTCCCGCACCTCCATGTTGAGGAAGATGGCGACGGCAGTGCAACGAACCAACGAACGGGGACGTGCACGCAGCATGCAGTGGAAATGCGCAGATCGTCCAGTTGACTTCTTCACGGCGTCGGCAATCAAGGTCGATTTGTCCTGAAAGCATAGTCATCAGAGAGTAGATCGAACACAAAGGCTGGCCCGGCAACGGCAGAGTTCAGAACCCTGTCTACTTCAGTCGGGTTCTACCATAATAGTGCCCTGGCTAACCCCAAAAAAAACAGACGTTCCCAGCTCTAAACCCTAAACCCTGTACCTGAAACCCTACACCCTAAGGCTGCTAAGAGGGTCATGGGATCTCTGGGGGAGGGTTTGGGCTTTGGGGGCTAAGGTTTGGGATCTCACTACGAGATCCAGGAGCATTGGGGTACACTCTCTAAACCTTAAACCCTAAACCCCTAAACCTTAAACCCTAAACCCTAAACCCCTAAACCTTAAACCATAAATCCTAAACCCTAAACCCATTGTTTTTGGTTGCCCATCCTTCGTCAGTTCCTCGGTGAGCTGATGATCCCCAGCAAGGCCGCCCGCAGCCTGCGGGATGGCGACATAGGGGCTCAGAAAACAAGCAGATTAGGGGCTTGGGGGCACAAGAACATATTAGAGAGTACCTAGATAGACAGACACACAGATAGGCAGATAGATAGACAGAATGATAGAAAGATAGACAGACAGATAGATACATAGAAGACAGGCGAAACAAAACCGATAGAATCGCTCCCCAAGCAGCCAGCGAGAGGAGCCCCAAGGCAGCCATAGCCCCGATACTTCAAAGGCAGCTCTCCAAGCTCTTGTCGCCACCCAGTGCCTGGATCATGTAAGGGATCCCTTTAGGGGATACTTTAAGAGTACCTTTGTGGGATCTATAAGGATTTTAGAGTTTGGGAACTGAGAGCCTAGGGTTTAGGGCTTTAGGGTTTTCGTGTTTAGGTACTCGGGCTTCTGTTTTGGTACAGGCACTCTTGTCCAGGTGCTGAGGCTACGGTTTAGGGTTTAGGCTTGCGGTTAGGGCGTCGACACTTGGGAGGGCTCAGCGTGTTGTTCTGTTGGGCTGCTTCGTTAAGGTTTCAGATAGAATAGGGACCCACAAGGAACAGCGTTGCTAATTATCCAGGCTTCCATATTCAGAGTTGGAAGGGCCTTTGATTCAGGTCTTGGTGGCTGAAACGAATCTCCGAGGGGTTTAGGGTTTAGGGCTTTCGGGCTTTAGGGTTTAAGGTTTTTTTTAAGGGTGCATTGGGACTTTCACTCTGCCAACTCCCTGCCCAATTTGGGCTTGCACTTAACAAAAGAGGCACACCCCAGGGGTTTAAGGTTTAGGGTTCATGGCTTCAGGGCTTTCGGGGTTTAGGGTTTAGGGCGTTAGTGCTTTCGGAGTTCTTTTAGGGTTGAGGGCTTAAGGGCTTAAGGGCTTAGGGGTTTAGAGTTCCCCAAAAAGAAGAGAGCTTCACCCTGAACCCTAGGCCCAAGTAGTAGGTGGCCTCGTTCTGACCCTGCTTGGTAGTCTGGGCTTAGCGTTTCGGGTTTAGGGTTTATGGCTAAGTTGAAAAAGCTCCTATATTAGTGTTACCTGCAGGGCCGTCGTTGGGTCGATAATGGGGTTATATGGGAGCTCCGGGGTTTCGGGTGTACGGCTAGGGTTTAGGGTTTAGGGTTTAGGGTTTAGGGTTTAGGGGTTTAGGGGTTTAGGGGTTTAGGGGTTTAGGATTTAGGGTTTAGGGGTTTAGGGGTTTAGGGTTTAGGGTTTAGGGTTTAGGGTTTAGGGTTTATGGGTTCAGAGTTGAGGGGTGTCATGCGGCAGATTCCTAAAGCCCAAACCCTGAATCCTAATGGGCAGCATCGACTTCTGACGATCCTAGTTGTGAAACTGCCCACAAACTTGAAGCCAAAAAGCGGGGTCATGAGTCACAAATGGCCGGAGCCACTAATGTCAGCATCTGAATAGATAGAGAAAGCTTCGGGGATATATTAGCATTATTGGGCCTGTTCACTAAGACCGACCCAACACGCTGAAATGCCAACCCTACACCTTAAACCTGAACTCTAAATCCTAAACCCTAAACCCTAAATCCAATACCCTCAACCCTAAAGCCTAAACCATAAATCCTAAACCCTAAACCCTAACTCCTAAGCCCTAACCCGAAGCCACGAACCCCACCCCAATCTCCGACAAAAGAAGCGAAGCTGCAGGGGGCCGCCGGCCCCATATGCAGGCGAAATCGTGAACCCAGCCGTTGCACCAGTAGCCTGTCTAGGATATAGGGTTAAGGATTTAGGATTTAGGGTTTATGGGGTTCATAAGGGGTTAGGATGTAGGATATAGGATTAAGGGCTTAGGGTTTGATTTAGGGCTTAGGAGGGTTTAGAGGCCTGCGAAAGCTCCAGGCAAAATAGTGGGCGTTTCAGCATTGCTTATTATAGGGATCCTGGAAATTTATCTATATATATATATATGCACTACTATGTATGCCTCAAAACCCGGGTCCTGCGAAAGCTGCAAGCATCTGCAAAGCAAGCCCCGATAGGACAGGGGAGAAGCCTTAGTAGTATCCCTTAGGGTTCCTGGAAATACTTCTAGTACTTACAAAATAGATGAATGACTATGTGTGTATACAGACATACATATTTAAAAGCCCCGAGACTCGAGTCCAGTTCGTGAGTTCTAAAACAAATTAATCCTCAAACGTTGGCAAAGTGCATTTGCTTGTATAGGAGGTGCTACTCTCATGTTCTTACTTTTCCAAACGGGACGGGACCACGTTGGCGAAGTGCATATCATACTGTGGGGGGATTTCGAGACAGTCGGTGCTTCTCTGCGAGTTTAGCAGGCGGGAGCTTAGGATTTGTCGTAACCTCGATCCGTCTCAACTACCACTGCAAAGGACGTGAAAGCCTCTCACAAGCGTAACATGCAGGGTCCTGGAAATCCCTGAACCCAGGGCTTGGGTGCTGCGGTTGGGGGTCTAGGGTAGAGAGTGGGTGAACAGTCTCTTGCCGACGGTTGGAGAATGTTCTTAGTTCAGGGTTTAGGGTTCCACCCAGCTGATTTGTGAGAGTTGTTGCTTGCGCCCTGCCACCCCGGAAAGCGTCCTCTCCCCCCAGAATTATCAAGGAATGTACCCCAAGCAGGTGCACGGCAACAAGGCCCTGGGAAGAACAGAAACCTCCATATGGCAACCCGAAACCCTTCCATTATAGTACCCTCATAGTAACCCTTATAGATCCCCTTTAAACGAGCCCTTTAAAGGAACCCCTTTTAGCCTAAAGTAATGGCGCTGCTGACTCTTTGCTGGTGCCTCGGCCCAATGTAATTCTCATCCTTGGTGGTGCAACGGTCGATGATATAAATCCTGCATTACCCATGATAAGGAATATGCCATGATTCCCATAGTTTCGGGTCCTTAAGGTAATGCAGGACCTATATCATCAACCGAAGAAGCTGACTCAGATCGCCAACCCTGCCACCAGCACTGCTTCCAGCACCACCAGCATCATTTCCGTTACCAGCATCGCCACCGTCATCACCATCCTGCGGCTGCGTCGCATGAGACTTCGGAGGATGCAGAGTCGAGACCCTCATCTCCCAGAGCCTCCTTAAAAGACAAAGGTCAGATCAGAGTTGGACGAACCGACTGTGAAAAGGTCTTGTCACTGCACCTCAGAGCACTGAATGATGCCGCCTGTAGTTGGAAAGTTTCGGAACTCTACTCATTCATGTACAGGTATGCCTCCAGCTTCAGACAACTTACTCTCTTTCCGTGCATTGCCGTCGTTGTCGAGCCTTTGTCGGCGCTCCGCCGTTGTTTCTTGCTGTCGCGATCCGAACCTGAAAAACCCTAAGCTACCCTCACACCTCGCACGCCTCCACGCCGCCCTGCAGCTCTCCGCCATGCACTCGAATCACAACTTCGAACAACTGCAAGAATCTAGGCCTGGAAAAACATGGAAATGCGACGCCCTAACGCTGAAATCATGAACTTGCTGTCTTATCCCGAAACACGAAAATGACTTGAAACTGTCTGCCGGGGAGAACTTCCAGAAGACCGCTACAGCGGCATCCACATGTTTAGAAGGTTTTTGGCCCCTGTAAGGACAACGTAATGCCCTAAACATCCCCAAACCATAAAAACCTAGACCCTTACATCCAAAACTCCTAGCCCCTAAATCCTACACCTCACAAACCCTATTAACCCTATAAACCCCTTTGAGGACAATCTAAACCCTAAACTGTAAGCTCCAAACCCGAAACCCTGAACCCTAAAGCCCTGACCCTAAACCCTGAACCCCTCAACCCCTGTCCCCTAAACCTCAACTTCTAATCCTATATAAACCCTAAATGCCCCTAAACCCTTACCCCCTAAACCTCAACTTCTAATCCTAAGCCCTAAACGCCTATAGGGAACTCCAGAAAGTTGGAATATGGTTTCATGGTAGGATACCCTATAATTTACCATAGAAGGGTTAGGATAATCATATTCCAACTTTCTGGCTTTTACTTTATGAGGAAACCCTAAACCCTAAACCCCTAGCCTCTAAACCTCAACTTCTAGTCCTAAAGCCTAAACGCCTATGAGGACAAGGATCTGCTGTACCACCGCCGACCCTGAGGCTGCGTGGCCACCCAGGCGGCCGCCCCCTGACTCTTTTAAACAAAGGGGACAAGGAGGGACCCTAGGCCTTTTTTGTTAGGGTTCCTTTAAAGGGATCTATATGGGGTTACTATAAGGGGTCTATATGTGCCAGCATCCGCGCACCCCCCCTGTGCCGATACACCCCCAAGGGATACTCCTTGTGAGGAGGTGTATGACCAGTTTATTCCCTAATGATCAAAGGGCAGCGCCCTGCACACGGACAGTAGTTGTTTTGTCTTGCTACGCAAGGAGAGCTTGTCTTGTCTCAATATGGTAAAACCACTGTGAGCCAATGGGCAGCGGAATGTATATGTATGAGCATGCAGCCATTGCTGTAGGTACCTGTTAGAGCTACCCCTTTAGAGGTTTATGGTTTCAAACAGACACTAATTTTCTTTTACCGGAAGCATGGCCGCACATTCACACATATACTGTTATGCCCACTGTCACAGTTGCGGAGTTTTGGACTCATTATAAAAACAGCATATTATTTATGCTAGGTATAGCACTGAAGTACACTGCTGAGGAAACTCCACTCCTTTTGCGCACACACTCATGCATATTTGTCAGAGAGATCATCTGTACAAGATCAGGTCTGGTGATGTTCTACTACCGAATTATGCAGCCACTCATTGTGCTCTTGTTAGAGCCTTGTGATTCACTGTTGTGAAACTCTGAGAATTTTCTTATCTCAGATTCGGATCCAGGTTTGGATCATAGGCTCGAGCGTAGACATTCGGATGTGGCTCATCCGGGTCTGAGTGGTCTTCTTCGGAACTTGAAAAGATTCCGAATAATCTGTTCTCAGCCCTGGTGAAGGCGGCGTCTGCAGTATCATATCCATGGTTGGATGTTGTCGCCTTTGGCTCGGCCTTTGGAGCAGCTTGTGAGCTGACTGGAATTGCCTTGGCTTTTGCCGGTTGCGGCTGCTTAGCCTTTGCCCGTTCAGCCCTTCTTCTTTCAAGCTGTCCGTCTGAGGACGCCCATGATCTTTCACTTTCATCTCCTGAAGGAGATAAGGCGTGGGCATAAAGGCTATTCCAGTACTGTGGTGCAGAAGGAGTTAGGACTTCTTCATTGTCAGATTCTGATTGGTCTTCCTCAGAGCTTTGGTCATCAAAGAGTG